ACAACTCTTCTGTCGAATATGTGTTCTGTTGAATAAGAACAAAAAATTCGATTATAATTGACAATCAAGCATATTTGACAGCATTTTTACCGAATATGTTCTTATCGTTTTTACCTAGTTTTCCAGTAGTGTGAATTTCACCTAAATAAATGTCATTTTGGCATTTTAACAAACACTTGGTGGACCATATATGAAAACTTCCTACTCCACTTAGCTAATCATTCTTCTCTTTTGCTTATTTATCTTTGAGGCATTTTAACAAACATTTGCTAGGCATTTCAACTTACTCTTTCAAGACAATAAACCAAGGGATTCCATTGCCCTTATGCTTTATATACAAGTTCCTGTCTTTCACTCTTATTCACAAAGCATGAACTGCTCTCTCTATTTGAATTGCCAGTTTGCCACCACCATCACTCCCTCAAGCCAATAAACCCACAACATGATTACCTCCACTACCCCTTGCATCTTTTCCCATTCCCACCCAACTCCATTTTTCTTACCTCATGTTACGAGAATGTTGTGAGTCAAAAAATATATATATATTGAAAAGACAAATCTTGCCTCAATCTATAACTAGCAACCAACTGTCAAACTCAACAATATACTCTCCAAAACCAAATTTTATCCCTTTATAAATTTCTCACCTAACGGCTACTAACATTGATTGGAGAAGATATTGCTAAAATAGGGAAGGAGACCTCAATTGGAGTTTACCTGACAACTCGGAAACTTTGGCAATTTTAAATGAAATACAAAATTTTAGAATTAAAATTCATGGGATAAAGAAAGGATTTAAGATACACACGTTTTATATTTATTATTAGTATTATTATTATTATTATCTTGATTATACAATGGGAGACAATCATTTTTCATTCCTTAGCCCACCACATTTGCATGTCATGCGATTCAAATTCAAAATTTTCTATTTATATAGAAAAGAAATAACTACTAAATTATATAAATCATTGACACACATATTTTATATTTTGAAATACATAATTTAAAATATATGAATTTGAATCAAATTCAAATACACTTACATTTTTATTTTGAAAAATCAAATAATATATTTGAATTTGGGGTTACAAATTCAAACACTCTTTTTCAAATTCACGTTCTCAAACATGCTAGAAGATTTTCATGTATGCCATTGAAATTTTTAATTTTAAAATTTAGTCGCTAAAGTACTAAGCTTAATTATTCGATGTCGTTCAAGTATTCAATTCAAATCTTTGAAACCGGAAGTGGGCCCGCCCGTGATCCATTTGTTTGCAAAGAGAAAGAATTAAGCGGTAGAGCAGAAGATTAGGGCTCTGCCAACTCTGCAATCTGATCCATTTTTTGAAATATTGAATTTGTTTGAATTGTGAAGGACAGAAGTGGATTTGAAGGAGACCATGAGAAATCAGATTCTTCCAGTGACGGTGTTGTAGTAGATTTCCTGCATCAAACCGGGTACCAACTGTAACGCCGGTTCTATAAGCTATTGAATCAAATGCCTTGAACATGTTTGTTGAAATGCTCCTTAGCATTCTTCGTCTGTTAAGATTAGTTTGATCTTGTTGGAAGTAGCTCCGCGTATAATGGCGTAGTTGTATCTTGTATGGAAAGAATCGCAGTGAGAGTTTTTCGGACTGTGAAAAATATTAGAGCTGTTTGTTTGCTTAGAGGCCACATTGTTTCTTCCTTTGTTTGATTTGAAGAAAGAAGCTAAGTGAATCAAAAGCACGAACTTGTTCTCTATACAGCAAAGATGACCTTGAGCTTTTATCTTGATTGCCTACCTTTTTTTTTCTTTTTTGAGCATTTTGCTTTGCCAGTTTTCTTCAACTCTGATTTTTATACCTACTACTGATTTTGCTAGCAGGATTATAATCCTTACTGTTACGTCGCATGTGTCGGGGTGTATAGGTTGGAGATTAACTGATAAAGAACCTAGTAAAGAAGCTTAAACTTGCCAATGAATGCCAAATGATATTGGTTGTATTCGAATTGGGTTTATGCTTTTTGGATACATTTTTTCTAGTCATCAAAGGTTGCATTTATTAAAATATATAGGAATTAAGAGTAGATCCTCAAGCTTTTGGATAGAACCATTGGATGTTGGATTAGACCAAGCCCAGACCCTTGAAAATTGACCAGTTGTGAAAGATAGATCCATGTCCATTTCAGAATAGCTGTTGGGAGCTTGTTAGAATTGTAACAAAATCATTTACAATAACCATATGAAAGTCAAGGCATGACACATTTGCAAAAAAGTTAAAACAGCCATTGACTATTTTCCTAAAATAAGACATTATGTAATAATAGAATAGCTGGTTTTTTTATTAGTAAAATAATTATTGTTGGTTAATTCGAAGAGTTATACCAAGTTTCACTTTGATTACCCCGAAAGAAAAGAAAATAGTTAGTCTTAATTATTCTGATATATCTTTAATCATTAATAGGCTATTATGATTGCAAGATGTTATTTTTTGTTTAATAGTAATTCTACTTTAGTGTCCAATAAGTTGTATACCTTAATAAAAACAATACAAGTGGGAATAAAATAAATCAATATTTTGAATGTTACGTTATATAAATGCCACAATATCGAATATATATAAATGCATTGGGGCACGGGATGATGGGCAAGGGAGGGAGTAGGAAGGGTTTTGGTGATTAAGTAGCGTGGGGTGTGTGGTAGTGAATTTATTATGAAGTTGATATCATTTAATGTGAGGGGATTAGGGAGTGTGTTGAAAAGGAGGGAGGTGGGAAAGATGGTAAGAGCAGAGCATCCGAATTTTTTGTTTTTGCAAGAGACAAAATTAGAGAGGGTAGAGGTTAATTTGTGTAAGCAGTTGTGGTATACAGATGAGTTTGATTGGGTGATGAAGGAGTCTGTTGGGGCGTCGGGAGGGTTGCTTTGTGTTTGGAATAGTTTGGAGTTTGTAAAACAAGGGGAGTTTTCGCGTGATGGGTTTTTGGGGATTAAAGGTGAATGGGGTTCAAAGAAGATGAAGTGTAATTTTGTCAATGTCTACGCACCAACCGACAGATATAAGAAAGTGCGTCTATGGGCAGAACTTCGACAGAGAATAATGGACGAGGAAGGTAGATGGCTAATCGTAGGAGATTTAATGCTGTTAGGTGCTTAGAAGAAAGGAAAGGTAGGATAGGGGAGTCTCCAGATATGAAGGAATTTGATGATTTTGTTGTATCAACTGGTCTGGTGGATCTAAAATTGGCTAATAGGAGATTTACATGGTATAGGCCTGATGGATCATCTATGAGCCGTTTGGATAGAGTCTTATTGTCAGTTGAGATGTGTAATGTGGGGGAGGAATGGGTGCAACTAGGATTGAAAAGGACGGTTTCTGATCATTGCCCCATTCTGGTGAAATTAGTGGTGGTTGACTGGGGATCAAAACCTTTTCAAGTCCTTGATGCTTGGCAACAACATCCGCAGTTTAAGAAGGTAGTGGAGGACAAATGGAAGGAACTACATGTGGAAGGGTATGCTGGATATATATGCAAACAGAAGTTGAAGAGTTTGAAAGAATTCTTGAAAGGATGGAATAAGGAGGTGTTCGGGAACATGAAATCTGAATTCCAAAGTGCTGCACATAAAGTGGACCAGATTGATTTGAAGAATGAAATGATGGATTTGGTGGACAGAGAAGTGGATCAAAGGAGGGAAGGTTTTTAGGAGCTATGGGAAATACTGAGGAAAAAGGAAGCCATTTGGAAACAAAAATCTCGAAGTGAGTGGGTTAAGTTGGGTGACCAGAACTCGAGATATTTTCATAAGTTGGCTAATGGAAGGAAGGCCCAGAACAGCATCTCGGGGTTATTGTGTGCTGGTCGGTGGGTGGAGGAACCAGATATGGTCAAGCAAGAGGTGGTTCTTCCGCAACCTATTTCAGGAGGAACATTGGAACCGACCCAAGCCTACGCATTTAGTATTCAGGCGGATTTCTGAGGAGAAGAGAATGTGGCTTGAACGACCTTTCTCTGAAGAGGAGATTGACGAAGGGCTGAAGAGCTGTGCTGGAGGTAAAGCACTAGGCCCTGACGGGTACAATTTTAATTTCCTTAAACTTTTCTGGAATAGTCTTAAGGAAGATTTTGTTAGCTTCTTTCGGGAATTCCATCAGCACAGTAGATTAGTGAGGGGTTTGAACTCTTCTTTTTTTTGCATTGATTCCTAAGAAGTTGAACCCTAGGGAATTAAAAGACTTTAGGCCTATTAGTTTGATTGGATGTGTATATAAATTGCTGGCTAAAGTATTAGCTAATAGGCTTAAGGCAATGATGCCAAAAATTATTGGAGAAGCTCAATCCGCTTTTGTAGGGGGTCGACAATTAGTGGATAGTGTTTTGGTCTTCAATGAGGTGGTGGATGAGGTTCGGATGAGGAAGAAATCAGCTTTTATCTTTAAGGCAGATTTTCAAAAAGCTTACGATTGTGTTAATTGGTCGTTTTTGGATGGGATGATGGAGGGGTTTGGTTTCGAGGTCAAATGGAGGGGATGGATTATGGAGTGTCTCTCAACTGCAAGAGTTTCAGTGCTGGTAAATGGAAGCCCGACAAAGGAATTTGATATGGAGAAAGGGTTAAGGCAAGGGGATCCTTTGTCCCATTTCCTATTTTTGATGGTTGCTGAAGGATTAAATGGGTTGGTTAAAAAAGCAGAAGATGAGGGATTACTTCATGGTATTGAAGTCGGGAAAAAGGGGTTGGCAGTTTCTTTGCTACAGTTCGCTGATGATACAGTTTTCCTAGGGAGGGCTGATAGTGGAAATATTATGATGGTTAAATCTATTTTGCGGTGGTTCGAGTTGATGTCGGGATTGAGGATTAATCTCAACAAAAGTAGTCTATACGGGTTTAATGTGTCTGAAAGATGGATTAGGGGGGTAGCTAGTGTTCTGCGATGCGGTGTTGGGGTGACACCTTTTCGTTACTTGGGAATGCCAATTGGGAGAAATCCAAGGAGGAAGAAGTTTTGGGATCCGGTTGTTACTAAATTTCGAGCTAAACTTGCCACTTGGAAGTCTGTTGTGCTGTCCTATGGAGGTCATCTCACGTTGCTTAATTCGGTACTTTCTGCACTTCCTACTTTTTTTATGTCTTTTTTTTTAATGCCAAATTCTGTGCTTGCTCAATTAATTAAGATTCAAAGGGATTTTTTATGGGGTGCATCGGCGGAAAAAAGGAAGATTGCGTGGGTTAAATGGGATGCAATCTGTTGTAGTAAGGCGAAAGGAGGACTAGGTGTTCCGGATTTGCGTAGGAGAAATTGGACATTGCTGGGGAAATGGTGGTATAGGTTAGGAGATGGAAGGGAGGGGTTATGGAAGAGGGTAGTGAAAGATAAATATTATGGAGGTGAAGGAGAGGTAGGTATAATAGATGTGGACACTTTGAGGTTGTCTAAAATTTGGAGTGACATTATCTGTGTAGGTGGACAATCATCAAAGTTAAAGGATATGTTGGTGAAAGGGTTTCGATGGGAGGTGGGGGATGGCTGTCGGGTGGGTTTTTGGGGAGATATTTGGGTGGGGAACAAATCTTTTCGAGATTTATTTCCAAGGCTTTTTCAGTTAGCTGAATATAAGGATAGCAAGGTTAAGGAAAATGAGACTTGGGAAGGGGATAGTTGGCACTGGGATGTAAAATGGCGGAGAGAGAGAATGGGTCGGGAAAAGGATGAGGAGAAGAAGTTAAGGGAGTCTTTGGGTAGTGTACAGCTTAGGCAAAGTGTAGTAGATTCTTGGCAGTGGACATATGAAGTAGGAGGTAAATATACTGTGAAGACAGCATATGAGTTTTTAGATTCTGTGGATTCTTTGCTTGGTGGCCATTTGTGTAAATTAGTGTGGTGCAGGATGGTGCCTTCCAAAGTGAGTTTTTTTGGGTGGAGGCTGTGTCTAGATAGGCTGCCAACAAGGTGGAATTTGCAAAAGAGAGGGATGGTACTCCAAGGGGATGGCATGCAGTGTGGACTATGTAAGAAGGGTGTGGAGGATGTAAATCATCTTTTCTGCACATGTAGGACAGTTTGGTTAGTTTGGGTTAAGGTGATTCAGTGGTGGGGCTTGGAGGTTGTGATGCCGGATAAGGTGAGGGGTGTGGTAGATTTCTTCTTATGGTGTTTGGGTAGTTTGGTGGGTAAGGAGATGGGTGCCTGTATTTTCCTTGTTGTTGCTTGGTATATATGGTATTGGAGGAATGTCTTGGTATTTCAGCAGAGTGGGGATTTTAGGGAGAAATTATTAGAATTGATTCAAGATAAGTCCTATTTCTGGATTAGGAATAAGGTAGAGGGGTGTGTTTTCTCTTTTGTTCAGTGGCAGAATAATCCAGTGGAATGTGCAAAGGAGTTGTCCCGGTTCAAGAGGTCTTTGAAGGTTTTTAAGCAACATCAGGGCCGGCTTATTCAATCTGGCTCTCCTGGGGGGATTGCACAGCCTGGGGTGTAGCATGATCAACGCCTGCTGCGCTGAATTTTTTCTATGTACAGATGGTTGTTCTTAGAGTAATGGACTGTTTGGGTTATGTATTTTCTTTTATGTGTAAAAGGGCAGGAGCACCCCTTGTGCTCCATTAAAAAATGAATAAATATTTTTTTGCTGATCAAAAAATATATATATATAAATGCATTGAATAGTAAATATGCCCCAACAATTATCATAAAACTGTTGTTTAGCACTAGGTCTACAGAATATATATATATATATTTTTAAGTTAGATATTACTTCACATTACAAAATAGCTATAACGTTTTTGGTTAGATATTACTTCACATTACAAGATAGCTATAATGTAATAGGGGCACATCGTTCGAATGGTGATATGGTTCCCAATTGTTGCAGTGCTGATAGTGGATGGAATCTTATTTTGTTTGGATGGTGTTACTGTTAGCTGTATGACTAAGATAAGCTCAATAGCATAGTAAAGTACCTTTTTTTCTCTTCTGATGCATAAGATGTGGGCTTTATAATAGCAGATAGTATTCTCCTATTTTGGAAACTCTCCTCACTCCATCCTAATGAATTGGATCTGATCTCTAAGATGGAAGTCCCACATTCAAACTATAGGTATCATGGAGGAAAATAATGAAATTACTTCTTTTTTACCAACCAAATAATGGAATTACTACTGCTGGAACCTAATTTCTTATGTGTTATCTCTCTTCTTCTGGCAAGTGCAAGAAACAGAAGTAAAGGTATTTCTTCCAGGACAGCACATCTTTCTTGTCATACCAAGTCTCCAACATGTTTTATGTTTCCAATGCTTTAATAGTATAACAGCCTAATTTTGAAATGTGACTGGTTCTCTAATCTTTATATGTAAATTGTTATAAATTACAAATATTTTGTTGATGTTTAGTTAATTTTTAACACTGTTTACTATATTTGTTGATCAACTATATTTTTGGCTCTTATAACATAAGAGATTAGTTTATGGTTGAAATAAGATATAATAAACTAAAGGGTTTTTTTATCTTATATTGGTAGGACACAAGTTAATGGTGTATTTATTGCACTTTAATTTATATATAAAATATAAATGTTGATTTATTTAACTACCAATTAAAACTATTCACGTGATAATGATATTAAAATAAATATCAATTTTTGTAATTTTTCATATAAATTAATTGTAACATGGTGCATTTATTACACCTTTAATTTGTGTAATAAGAGCACACAAGTTGGACAAACCCATCAACTAATGGTGTCAACCAATCTATGTCTTTTTAATTCATGGTTAAAGATAACTATTACATAATTTTTTCACATGGCATAAAATCTTCATGATGTTTTCATAAGATATTTAGAATTTCATTATGTTTGGTACACTTGTTGATCAAAATTGTCATTGACAGCTTTCCTCATGGATGCACGCAATTGAAGGTGATTGTGACTTCCATAAATTTCATAATGAAAAGTCTTGCAAATTTGATTACCAACATTCATTTTGCGGACCTCATGGACCAGAGTGCAAAAAAGTGACTTCAGAATGATGGTTCTGTTTGGATTATATGTTTCTTTAATTAGTATTTTCCCTCCATATCTTTTCCAGTAGTGATTATTGGAGTCGATCAAATTTGAACATTGTTTAAGCATGCAAACCTGATTCAGGGGATAAAGACCAGGGTAGGTTGGGCTTTGCATACTTCTCCAGCCTCCACCCTTCTATTACGATTGTCTAGAATGGGGGAGGTGGAGCTGTTTGGGTTGATGTGCACCAACTGCTAAGATTCATTTGCTAAAATTTAATTGTAAACAATAATCTTTTTCATGCCGTTATGTGGGCTCCGTTTAACTATCATTTTGATTTTTGTATATTTTGGGTCTTACCAGACATAGATTTGTCCTTTCTTTAGTTGCAAGTAAATTCAAAGCAAACATCTGCTTTGTTTATTTGAATTCTGAAATCACACGAAACAAAGACTGGGTATTTGACATTATATATTCAGTTATACGAACCCCCATACGTGTACTTTTTCCTTTGTTTATACATGCATATATATAATATTTGTATTTTATCCACATACATGTTGAGCTAGGCTTTCTGGGTGTCTGACCCATCATTTTGGACCGACATATGATTAAATGGAACAATACCCTTCGAGAACATGACAAATTTCACAGGTTACTGAAAGGTCAACTAGGTTTCTTGTGATTTTCATATCTTCCATAGTCCTGATTAGGTTACCCATTAGGGACTTGAACACCAAGATTTATGCTAGAAGTTTCTAACTGTCCCAATATTTTGTCCAGTCACTGAGACATGCTTAATCCATAAGCTACCCTAATCAGTTGCTTGGTGATTTATAGAAAATCTTGGAGTCGAATTCAACAGTAAGAAAATTTACTATAGTCCAGGCAGGAATGAGACATTTTGTGCATGGAGGTATAGAAAAGATAAAACGTGGCCATGGAGGGTCATGAATCAATAGCCACGACATCAGGTTTTTGGACCTTTAGATGTATTGGTTAGAAACCCATCGAAGCAAGCAATCAGTTTGTTTAGCTGACACTTGAATTCATTTTTACATTCATATATTTATACTTTGATTTTGAGTTTTAGCCGACATCGTTGATTGGTTTATAAAATCAGTCCCTGGTCCACCCGACAAGGAACCTTGGTTGAAGGAACTAGTTCTCTTGTTCTCTGCTAGTGTGCCTTTTAAAGTCCGAACCGTTTACTAACTGATTGTTAAGAAATGAGAAAATGGGTGGCTGCTTTTCCAGAATGATTCAACAATAATGTTTTTTTCTTACGAAATTTAGTACAAAATAACGTGACTTCAAACCAATGGCTAAGTGATTTAACTCTTTTTTTGTGAATATATATGTACCAATTTATTTAATATCATGTTCATTGTTCTGGAATCATTACCATTAACCTTTTGCCCAGCATGAGAAGCAAGCAAGATTAGAAAAATTAAAGGGAAAAATGTCCCTCTCAATGCTGTGGCTGGTGGCATTTTGACATTGACACTAGCTGTGATGACAAATTAAATTAGAGTTTAGGTTTGAAAGAGCTGGCTTATGAAATAAGAAAATACTATCATTATAGCAGAAACATTGGCCATTAAAGTTTGTGCCAATCACAGTAATGCCCCTAGTTTTTTTTTTTTTAAAAAAACCCTTTTTAATGAAAATTTCCCACGTTTACATGGCTGTTTTTATCTGATCTATACATTTTTTAAAACCTCTCAACCTCTGTTATTTAAGTATGGGTCATAATGGATAACTTTGACCTTTTTTTAATTTTCTCTTGGTATGGCAATCTATACTAAAATTTTTATTTCTAATCCGTTGTCACTTAAAAGTTTGAAGTATTAATTATTTTTATTAAATTTTTTTGGTAGCTTGGTTGCAAAGGATTTGCTTTCTTGTCTCATTGACTAGGATTCAGTTTCTTATGAACCCTGATAAAGAGGTAATTTCTTATGATTATCTCTTTAATCCTAGCATAATGGTTTGCCTTTGATTAGATTGAAGAGGTTAATTATATGATGTGCAAAAGCTTAATATATAATTTGTGTTATAAGTTTTAAACTTGAAACTTTTCATTTAGTAGTCCCATGGTATGTTTGAGATGTTCTTTAAAAAGGAACTTTTCAAACAGCTAAAGTCTTAATTTAATGGTTAAACAATAAATTCAAGTTGGGTGGTCTTTATTTTAAACTAGCTAGGGGAAATAATGTAGCCATCCTATACCCCATATGAATTAATTCTCAAGTCAAGATAATTTATGCCGACGAAAATTTCTCTCTCTCGACAATTTTAAAAAATGGGAGAACAAGCACTGGCTTGTGCTAGAGGTTAACCTTCTGGTTTAGTAGGTCATTTAATTAACATCCAACAAGGATACTGAGGAGATAGGAAATTTAGCAAAAGAACATAAAGATGAGTACAAAGGGCCAGCGAATACAATACAACTATTCTCAACCGTGTGAAGAATGTCTCACAAGACTTAGATTTTGAATAAATTTAGGTCTAAATCCGGGGGCCTTTGCTACACCAACTTTCCTTGCAAATATATATCTTTATCTGTCTTTTTCTAACTAGTTAACTAAACTAACCGCTTGCTAGCTTAATTATTTGCCCCCGTATTATTAACCCTGTTTAGATATGTTAAACAAAGATGTCACTAATTTATCAATCAATAAAGATCATCTGTTTATAAATGATGATTCACTAGGGGACCATACTATGTTTATCTTTTTTGTTTGGCTGATGCATATATCATCAACACTTGAATTATAAATGTTATGAGAAATTAGCTCAACATTAGCCTCTGTACAAAGAATCAAACAATGTAAACAGCAAACATTCTTGCCAACTAATCCACCACCCTTTCTATTCTTACTTTCTTTTGCATACCTCCTTTATTTTTGAGAAATAAATACACGTCTCTCAAGCCTCAAACCTCAAACCTCATTAACCTATAATTTTAAGTTATAATTTTTTATAAATATAAAACGTAGAAGAACAATTGCACGCAGATTCCATAGAGGGTTATGAAATATAAAAGAAAATAAGACGTAAGGTAATTTAGAAGCCATGCAAACAATGACAACAGACGCGTGCATGGAATGGACTCCTCTCACGTCTCACCACGTATTACTTTATTAGATTTGTGGTAAGTAGTTACTGTGGTTGTTTTAAAAAATTGTATTTTTATCCAAGTACACGTAGGACTCAAAATCTCACCTCATTGTTGTAGGGCCTCAGTTTTTCAACAATTTTATGTTCATTTTCAACTCCAAAAAACATTACACTCCTAGTTTTTACCTAATATTTTCCATCTGTGTCCAAGATTTTTCTTCCATTATATTATTGCCAATTTGTTATGATTTTTTTATTTTCTTCCATTTCTTCATTATTAATTATTGTCAAGTGTTTAGTATATATTTAAAAGAAGGATTGCCGGGCAAAAAAAAAGAAAAAAAGGATTTGTCCTACATTGCAACAAACCGGGAGAAGTGTCCCCATCTTGGTTGGCCAAACAAAAAGTGTGGCATAATATTTTAGTTGTGTGATGGAGGACAAGAAGCAAGACCAGAGATTGTGTATATAAATATGGTAAGCTCCAGCAGTTTTGGTGCCAGAGAAGGACGCAAAAGCCATCATTGCAAAACCAAATTTTAGCAAAATATTATAGGAATTAAGAGACAGATATCATGGGGAGATCTCCTTGTTGTGATGAAAATGGCCTCAAGAAAGGCCCCTGGACTCCTGAAGAAGATCAAAAGCTTGTGCAGTACATTCAGAAACATGGCCATGGAAGCTGGAGAGCCCTTCCTAAACTTGCAGGTCTTAACCTCAAAACTCTAATTCTCCAGTCTACATCATTTCTCTTATATATCCCAAAGGGTTAATTTCTCACGTTCTCTCCACTTTCCTTTTCGTTTTCAATTCCAGGTCTCAATCGATGTGGGAAAAGCTGTAGGTTAAGGTGGACGAATTACCTAAGACCAGATATCAAAAGGGGAAAGTTTTCTTCAGATGAAGAACAAACAATTCTTCATCTTCATTCCATCCTCGGAAACAAGTAATAAATTCTTCGCCACACCTTCAAGATGTTGCTTTCTGTAATATGTTTTCATCGCTAAACTTCATTTGTGCTAAATTCATGTTGTTTGTGTTTCTTTTGTGCCAGATGGTCTGCAATTGCAACACACCTACCAGGGCGCACAGATAATGAAATCAAGAACTTCTGGAACACCCATTTGAAGAAGAAGCTTATCCAGATGGGTATAGACCCAATGACCCATCAACCAAGAACTGACATTTTTGCTTGTTTACCCCAACTCATAGCCCTAGCCAACCTTAGAGACCTGGTGGAGAAGAACCAATACCCTTTGGATGAACATGCTGTCCGGTTACAGACGGAAGCTCTTCAGTTAGCTAAGTTTCAGTACTTACAACAGTACCTCGCCCTAGCTGCTACTTCAGCGAGCAACAATAACTCTATTATGGATGCGGAAGCTTTGAATCTATTGAACTCTTGGGGTCCAAGTAATTCTGTCCTAAACTCATCAGAAGTAATTGAGATTAATCCATTTAGAAATGGAGATGCTACCTCTCAACCACTCCACAATCCAAGTCTATTAGACCCACCACAGGCCGCTTTCAATTTCCAAATGTCTTTGAATAGTGACAGGATAGGCCAGCACTGCTCTAGTTTTACAGATCATCAGCAAACTGATTCCCCCTCATGTCTTCTTCCATCGCCGTTGTCTGTTCTTCCGGTGACAGAGACATCCATTAGCAATCCGGCCGGGGATGCAAGCAGCACTTCTAGCTACAACGGTAGCGCTTCTCCGTACTGGCCAGAGCTTTATTTTGATCAGGACGCTATCTTGCAAGAGATTTAATTCCTGGGTGTTGCCTAGCTATACTTTGTGTTTAAATTAAAGTTAAAATATATGGATACCATTGGCATCTCATGTGGCATATATGTATATGACATGTCCAATACATATACATATATGCACATAGAGGACATACGTGCATAAATTTAAAGGAGTGTATGCATGATAGTGATACATGCATATTCTGCACATAATTTTGGGGGAATCATTGTCCTGGTAAATTTGTTTCTTTTTCCTCTTTCCAGTATGAATAGAATATTAACTATGATTTTACCAGCAAAAGAAAACACACATGCATACAAATTGATAAGTGGATACATTAGTGCAACAAAATGTGCTCTTTCACGATGGATCGATCGGAACCCAAAGCAAGTGCGGAGCTGATTATGTAAAAGGGTGGGAGTGTTAGGACTTAGTGTTAAATCTTGCAAGGTTGTAAGTTTGTGTTTTATGTGATTTCTTGTGCTTATGTATACGAAACTACTAAATGTAATATGTATAAATAGATAAGAATACCTCTTATATTTCATTAATAACAATAAAAGAAAAATTTTTGCAGTTCAAAAAAAAAAAAAATCGATCAGAACCTATATATGCATTGGCTTTTCAAAAAAAGAAAACGAAAAAAAAAAAAAAAACTAGTTCATAACCATTAATCATTAGAATCAACAGACTTTTTTCTATGTATATATGCATTGTTTCAGGGACTATTTAATAGCTTGTTTTTTATTTAGGAAAATAGAAGAAAAAAATCTATATCTAATTAAATTAAAACGTTATACTAAAATTTTAATTTAATTCCCAGTAAAAAATTTAATTTAATTAGATAAAAAGTTTTTCCTACGGGCATCTGTGTCTATCAAACTAAATGGGCCATAAGGAACATTTTATTTGCCAAAATTGAAATGCCCTGGAGTAGCTAAGAAAGAGTAAGAGAAGAAAGTATTTTCATTGTTACTTGTCCCGGAATATTAATTAAGACAAGTATTCTTTCAATTTATTTGGAGTAGGGGATCTTCTTGCAGGGAATCATAATTAGTTGAAATGATGGTTATTCATTGAAAAAAAGGTTGAAATGGTGGTTTAATTGCCTCACGAAATGCGCACCTTTGGGGGTAGTTATAAGATGAAGCATTATTTGTTGGAATCATTAGAGAGTTAGAGATGTGAAGATTATTAGTAATTTGATTCATTCTTCCATGCATTAATATCACATCATCATGATATACATACATACATATATATATATATATATATATATATCTAGTGATATATATCAAATAAGGGAGAACTACTAGGCAAAAACCAACATTTAGTCCCTCACCTTACAAAATTAGTAAGTTTTAACCCCTCACTTTATAATATGATAGTTTTAGCCTTTTATCTTATAAAGTTGGTAAGTTTTAACCCATCACCTTACAAAGTTGGTAGGTTTTTACCATTTACCTTATATTATGATATTTTTAGCCCATCACCAATACGAATTAAAGAAAATAACCCTCACATGACATCATGTTATAACATTTTGTTAGTTAACTGTTAACATTTGTTAGCATTTCGTTATAAAAAATATAATATTTAAATTAAATTTTATTTGTTAGTTTCATTAACGGAATGTTAAAAGATGCTAATGGTCAACTAACAGAACTAGCAATCAGCTAATAAAACTGATAGTTAACTAACAGAACAATACAATATTAAAATCTTATGTTAAATAAGGGTTATTTTCTTCAATTCATACAGATAAGGGGTTAAAAATGTCATAATATAAAGTAAGGGACTAAAACTTACCAACTTTATAAGGTAAGGGGTTCAAATCTACCAACTTTGTAAGGTAAAAGGCTAAAAATATCATATTATAATATTAGAAGCTAAAACCTACTAATTTTCTAAGGTGAGGGACTAAATATTGGTTTTAGCCGAACTACTATGTGCATTGAATTATTGAGCATTTAGATAAAAAAAAAAAAAAAAAAGGAGAGCTTTTAATTGTTAAAATTGATATTTATAAATTAAGATTCTGTTTAGAATATTTTTAATTTTGGGTTTTTATTTTTATATATTTAGTAATTAATATTATATTCAAATTAAATTTAATAAATTTAAATTTTATAATAAATTTTGATTTTTTAAATATAGTAATAGTTACTAAATATATAAAAAAAATAAAAACTAAAAATCTAAAACCAAAATCATACTAAATGTAAGGAAATTATCGTTTACCTATTCAGATCATTAGTTTAAAGACTAAATTTATTGAAAACAAATATTATTAGATTTGAATCTTGAAATTAATAATCAAATAAACTTAATTTGAAATACATCAAGTCAATAATTTTAAAATTTCTTGGAGATTAATATTAAATAATTATGCACAAATTGAGTCAAGAAGGTACAATCCAGTTAATTAATTTGTTTAAAGATGTGGTTACGATCACTAAATGATGTATTAAAATTATATAAATTTTTTAATATTATTTTTAAAAATATAGGTTTATTTAATTTAATTACTAAAAATAATTACTATTTATTATTTAATAAATTAAAATTAATTTATAAATTAATATTTTTAAATATTATAATTAATTATTTTTGAAAAAATTATAAATGAATAAAATATTAATTAAACCAAATAAAATTAATATAATTTGTGCAATTTTAATACATTATTGTATTGAAAACCACTCCTTTGTTCAACGGGCAGTTAGACTAGGATTTCTTTTCTACGTACCATAGTCTGACTTTTTTCCCAAGTCATGTGCCAATCACCTAATGGACTTCCATAAGTTTAATTTACTTGTATCTTTTTCAAATTAAAGCACTTCTTTTCTTAAAAATAAAATAATAATAATAATAATAATAATAAAATACTTCTTCAATTTTAGGTTTTTTAAATTTTTTTTTAAACAAAGTGAAATGTCAATATTTATGGTGGGGGTTTGGATAAAAGTCAAATCGGTCATTCTTGTCAAAGCTACATGGAAAAAAGCAGCATCTTGGTTAGATTTCCTCTCCTCACCACATTATTTTTCCCATTTAAAAACAATATAAAACTTTCACTACCTAATCCTACACCATTATTTAGATAATAGTACTACTCTAAGTTTCTTATGTCATTGCTTGCAATCATAGGTTCCTTTTTTTTTTTTTTTTAACTTACACGCGGGAATAGGATTCAATCATGCAAATGATAG